CTAAGGATTGTGTATATATGTGTATGTCATCCAAATGGGAGATTGTTAGATTATTGGACTCGTACTACATGTGATATTCACAATATATTATTTATCAGATTATATTGTATGTTATATGTTATGTTATATTTAGGCCCAAAAATTAGTGGGCCCATGGATATTAATTTAAGTGAGCTAATATGTTATCTAATAAGGGTATAGGGTCCAAATGTGTAGAGACACATGGGCTTAACCTAATTAATGATGCATGAGCTGATTAGGGTTAAGCATTCTCTATAAATAGAGGGGTTATGGTCCCTAGTTGAACACGTCATTCCGTCTTTCTACATCCCATTGCTAGAGAGATAATTCCCGATGGTGTGTATCAACTAGAAGACACAAACCCTAGCCTCTGTCTCCCGAATCTAAAGATAATCTCCTATGGAGTCAGGTACGCTTCCGCTCAGTTATTTCTCTAGATAATTCTAATATGAAGATTAAAGTATACTTCCTCCTTTCTTTAATTCTTGCAACATTGTGATTTTTGCACTATTCACAGACCTTACTTTGACCACGATTTTCTACTAATATACATAATCAAATTATTATGTATAAAATGTTATTAAATTCCTATCGATGTGAATTTCCAAAATATCAATTTTTTATATTGTTTACTAATACATAAATAAATATAATTACAGTCAAAGTTATGTGTTGGCAAATGTAAAAGTCAAACTGTTGTAAGAATTAAAGAACGGAGCATAGTTAAAGGATTTATTCCAACAATACTGTCCAAAGACGAAGTTGTTTTGGTTGGCGAAAAAAGGTCACTTCCAAACTTCTCCAGACATCGAGGAAATTCTAAAAAGACGGGGGTTTTGTGAATGTCATTCCAAAAAACGGGACTTTGCTCCCTTGAATGAATTTGCGGTATTCGGAAACCCCAAATCCAAATTGGATGTGGGGTGGGGGCTGGGTAGGGAGGAGGAGGGGGAGAGATAGGGGTTAAGGTTAATTTAAAACCTCATTTTTCTATTAAGTGATTTAACTTTTTTATTTATACTTCAGTTTTTTCAAAAATTATATCAAAATTCATAACTGTTTATTATCTTTCTAACAACACTAATATTCCACATATAAAGTTTTTTTAAAAAAATTGAAATTTCAATAGTACGAGGTTTTTCAGATTCAATATTTTTCTTAGATAGATCCGAATGATAAAATTAAAACATTTTTTAAAATAATTGAAGCATGTAAAAAAGTTATGTGAACAAAGAGATTTTAATTTTAGCACTTGAATCTATTTAAGAAAAAAATTGACTCTGAAAACTTTCTACTGTTAAAACTTCAAAACAACCCTTATACATGCAATATTGGTGTCATTAGAAAGGTAATAAAAAGTTGTGAATTTTGATATATATTTTATAATATTTGGAATAAGAATTAAAAAGTTACATCTCTTAATAAATAAATGGGATTTTAAATTAGCCAACCCCCAACCCCCTCCCACCCAACCTCCCAAGTCCCACCCAACCTAATAATTCTAATCGGAAGTCCCATTTCCGAATCCCTCTTTCTTAGAAAAACTTTTCTCAGAAATCACCTATTGATTATTAGTTTGAAATGCTCAGAATGAAGGAATCGGAGTCCATTGATGATTTTGCTATCAAACTACACAAAATCGCCACTAACATTCGGACTTTGGGAGACAAGTTCGAGGAGGCGTGTGTCGTTAAGAAGTTGCTCAGGGCTGTCCCAACAAAATATCTACAGATTGCTTCAACAATAGAGCAATTTGGAGATATGGAGACCATGACCGTTGAAGAGGCTGTTGGCCGGCTCAGGTGCTACGAAGAGAGGATTCGTGGACATGAAGAGATCGAGGGCAACCAGCTCTTGCTCACTCAAGAGGAGTGGCTGGCAAGGTCAAAAAAGGGAAGCAATGGGGATTGGGGAGTCTTCTTCAGCTCCTAAGGCTCGCGGTAACAACGGTGGAAATAACCGTGGCCCTGGAAGGGGACGCGGCAGAGGTCGAGGAGGCGGCCGAGGAGGTCGGGGCAGTAACAATACCTTTAAGCAGGAGGAAGAGAGCAACCGGAACTCAAGTGGTGGCCGCGATAAAACCAATATAAAATGTTTTAATTGTGATATCTACGGTCACTACGCGTCAGAATGTCGAAAGCCTCGACGGGAGAACAACCGGGAAGCAAATCTAATTCAGATTCAAGATGATGAGCCTGCACTCCTTCTATCCATGTGCAAGCAGGAAGCATGCAACATGGTACTGTTAAACGAAAAGGTGGTCCCAAAGTTGCGGTCTGGCAAGGGAGCCTCGGAGGAGTCTAACCTGTGGTACCTGGATAACGGAGCCAGTAACCACATGACGGGCGAGAGATCAAAATTCAAGGATTTAAACAAGAGCATAAAAGGCCAAGTCAAGTTTGGGGATGGATCTATGGTGCAGATCACTGGTAGAGGAAGTATTCTTCTTCATTGTAAAAATGGTGAGCAACGACTACTGGATGAGGTATATTATATACCTGATCTGTGTACCAACATTATAAGCCTCGGTCAACTTTCAGAGGTTGGCAACAAGGGAGGTTGCTCATGAAAGTGAAAAGGTCACCGAACAGACTTTACAAAATCATTTTGGAGAGTTCTGAGCGAGTTTTTTTGTTGTCAAAGCTTACAGAATCATCCTGGCTTTGGCATGCACGCCTCGGGCATATAAACTTTGATTCCCTGAAGTTGATGTCCAAGAAGAATATGGTGTGGGGTGTGCCGAGTATAGAGCACCCGACACAGATATTCAACGGGTGTTTGATTGGGAAACAAACCAGGAGTTCTTTTCCCACTCAAACCAGTCACAGAGCTGAAAGAATTCTGCAGCTAGTCCACGGTGATCTCTGCGGCCCAATAACTCCACCAACTCCTGCGGGAAACAGGTATTTCCTCCTTTTGGTTGATGATTATAGTCATGCAATGTGGGTGTATATGCTGAAATCTAAAGATGAAGCCTTTGATGCCTTTAAGAAGTTTCGAGCTCTTGTTGAAAGAGAAACTGAATGCAAAATAAAAGTGTTCAGAACTGATCGGGGGGTGAATTCCTCTCAAATCAGTTCACACGATATTGTGAAGAGGCTGGAATTAAGAGGCACACAACAACACCTTACACCCCACAACAAAACGGGGTCGTGGAACGAAGAAACCGCACTGTTATAGAAATGGTCCGAAGTCTGTTAAAAAGCATGAACCTGCCAGTATACCTATGGGGGGAGGCTGTCCGGCATGCGGTTTACCTCCTAAATCGTGTACCAACAAAGGCATTGGCTGATATTACCCCATACGAAGCCTGGTCTCGAAAGAAACCACATCTAGCACACTTAAGAGTGTTTGGGTGCGTGGCACATATGAAAATTCCAAGCTCACAGGTGAAGAAGCTGGATGATCGGAGCAAATCAGTTGTGTATTTAGGCGTGGAGCCTGGGAGTAAGGCCTGCAGACTGCTGGACCCAGAGGAAAGGAAAGTGTATCTTTGTCGTGATGTTGTTTTCGAGGAAAACAAACAATGGCCATGCGAACAAATTAGTGCTGAAAAACCAGATTTCTCAGCACCACTTATCATTGAGGGAGTTGAGCAATCAAACCTTGATGGAGGAGAATCTGATGAGGAGCCTTTCACACCTCAAAGAGAATCCACCGGTATGCTTCACGAACCAGAAATGCAACCCCTTGAGCAGACAACAATAGCTGCACTAACCCCCCCCCCCCCCCCCGAATGCAGCAACATCTTCCTTTGGTGATCAAGGTAGCGCTTCTAGTGATGAAGCACCAAGAAGATTCAGATCGCTTCAAGAGATATATGCTGGGACTCAAGAAACTGAGGCAGATGCAGAATTGTTCTTCCTTGGTGTGGAGGAACCGACTTCCTATGAGGAAGCCGCAAAGGAAACGTCTTGGAAGGAAGCAATGAAGCAAGAGTTGCAGGCAATTGAGAAAAATAAAACATGGAGCTTGACTGACCTTCCTCCTGGTCATAAATCCATTGGAGTAAAATGGGTTTACAAACTGAAGAAGGATTCGAAGGGGAATGTCATCAAACACAAGGAAAGACTTGTGGCAAAGGGTTACATTCAACAACAAGGCGTTGATTATGAGGAGGTTTTTGCACCAGTAGCCCGGATTGAAACTGTGAGATTGATCCTTGCACTCTCAACCAAGAAAGGGTGGGAAGTCCATCACCTTGATGTCAAATCAGCTTTTTAAATGGTGAACTTCAAGAGGAAGTGTATGTCAATCAACCGGAAGGCTTTGTGAAGGAAAATCAGGAGCAGAAAGTTTATAAATTGTCTAAAGCATTGTACGGGTTACGCCAAGCACCAAGGGCATGGAATGCTCGTTTAGACAAGTGTCTAAAGGGCCTTGGCTTCAGGAGATGTCCATGTGAGCAGGCTGTCTACACACGACATAGATCAGGAGGGTCTTTGATTGTCGGGGTGTATGTTGATGATTAATAGTCACTGGCTCAAGTACTTCAGAAATTTATGAATTTAAAGATCAAATGAGCAAGGAGTTTGAGATGAGTAATTTGGGTCTCTTATCATACTATCTCGGGATTGAGGTAGAGCAAGTGACGGGGCAGATTGTGTTAAAACAGACAAAATATGCCAAGAAAATCTTGGAAAAAGCAGGGATGGCAGATTGTAATCCTACCAAATATCCAATGGCACCGAAGCTTCAGCTAAGTAAGGATGAGGGTGGACAACCTGTTGATGCAACAAAGTTCAAAAGTATCGTTGGCAGTCTGAGGTACTTGACTCACACTCGCCCGGACCTTACTCATGCCGTAGGTGTAGTGAGTAGGTATATGGAGAAACCTACAGTACTTCACCAGCAAGCTGTGAAGCATATTTTGAGGTATATTAAAGGAACAATTGTTTTTGGGATTGTGTACTCAAAGGAGGCTGGGAATGAAGATGAAATTATCGGGTATTCGGACATTAATCTGGCAGGGGATCTTGAAGATACGAAGAGCACCGGTGGGATGGCGTTCTACGTCAATAGCAGCCTTGTCACTTGGGCCTCATAGAAGCAACAGAGTGTTGCACTTTCATCCTGTGAAGCTGAGTTCATGGCTGCCACGGCAGCAACTTGTCAAGGAATATGGATGCGAGGTTTGCTTAGTGAGCTCGTAAGGCACAAATTGGATCCAGTTACCATTTATGTTTATAATAAGTCAGCAATTGCATTGATGAAAAATACAGTCTTTCATGGGAGGAGCAAGCATATTGATATTCATTTCCATTTCATACGTGAGTGTGTTGAAAAAGGTGAAATTGTGATCAAGCACGTGCGCACAGAAGAACAGCGGGCTGATATACTCACTAAGGCATTAGCAAGAGTCAAATTTGCAGAAATGCGTGAGCTGCTTGGAGTTAAAGGCCTCACCTGATCAAGTTTGGATTAGGGGGAGAATGTTGGAATTAGCCCAAACTATTCCTAAAATTATGGGCATAACACATGATCCGATTTTATTGTTTAGTTGGTTAGTTTTGCTTTCCTATTATTTAGAATCACGGAGTAGTACGTGTTCAGTTAGTTTTGTTTTCTCCTTATTTATACTGCAACAAGCTTGTTGTATGAGGTGTGACTGATCATCAAAACAGAGTAATATACTTCAGTTTAGTTTATTCCGGATAGTGCTTCATTCTTGCTCTCAAAGTGTTTGCTTTATTGCCTCAATAAAAATATTGCTTCTGCACTTTTCAAAATCCTGGGCAGTGAACTACACAAGATCGATGACCACCTGGCTTGTGCCGTTGCTGGAATAATGTCCGATGCCAACATCCTCATCAACACAGCCAGGGTCCAGGCCCAACGTTACACTTTCTCTTACCAAGAACCCATGCCTGTCGAACAGCTGGTCCAGTCGCTCTGCGATACCAAACAGGGTTACACGCAGTTTGGTGCTCTCCGTCCGTTCGGAGATTCCTTTTTGTTTGCGGGCTGGGATAAGAACTACGGCTTTCAATTGTATATGAGTGACCCAAGTGGGAACTATGAGGGCTGGAAGGCGGCTGCGATTGGGGCGAACAACCAGGCAACACAGGCGAGGTTGAAGCAGGACTATAAGGATGAGATCACGAGGGAGGAGGCTGTTCAGCTTGCTCTTAAGGTGCTTAGCAATGCGATGGATTGCACTAGTCTTACCTCTGAGAAGCTTGAGCTGACTGAGGTGTTCCTTTGTAAAGGTAAGGTTAAGTTCCTGGTTCACTCACCGGAGTCTCTCGATAAGTTGCTGGTGAAGCTTGGCTTGACCCAACCAACTCCGGAGACCTAATTAACGCGTTTCTTGCTTGCTGCATAAGACTTCTTGAATCAGTCTGCTCTTTAGTTTTATTTCCAGACCAAACTTGTGTGTTTTAGAAGTAACTTCATAACTGCTGTTCGTTTACCATTGGCATCTTGCCTCATCATATGTGGGATTGTTGATTCAATCAGTATTGCTGCTTTATTTTATCAGACGGCTGCTCTGTAATATATGCCAGATCATAAGTTCGACGTCAAAAAAAAAAGAGTGTGTTCGGATAGTTTAAAATAAGATTCACACAAGATACAAATAAGGTAGATTCTATGGTACCCATAAGGTACCATACATTTGTCCACATGGAGCAATGAGAATGTAACAGTTGAATTATTTAAATCTAAATTAAAAATGATAAAGTGGTGTGATCCAATCAAATGAATGGTAGGTACGGTACCTCATTTTTTAGAAAGGAACCGGAGTTGTCACCTACAAATAAATGCTATTCGGTAGAAAAATATTACAACTTGGCGTGGAATTGGAATTGGGAGTATGTGAAGTTTACATTGTTTAGGTAGTTATTACATGCATTATTGGTGTAATACTTTTAGTCCCGCTCACGTGAATTAAAGTTCCATTATTTAAAAAATTTGGTTGTGAATTAGAGCCTCACTCAAATATGTGAGATTGATTTTTGTATGATTAGAGTCCTATTACGTGTATTAGAGTCTCATTACTTAAAATTTTTGATGTTGTACAATTTTTTTTTTAAAATTGAATTGATATCATATTTATTCTGAGAATTCTACTCCATTAGAGCATCATCAATGAGGCACTTTCTAGTCTAAATAAAACATGCCAAATGTCAAATAATCAAAAGGCTTTCTAATACACGTACTACAAAGTGAGATGACTGAGCATTGCACTTTGGAAGAGGCCTCCAACGCATCTAGTCTTACGGCCTAGCTATGAAAAAACTGCCATGTGGAATCAAATCAAATTATTAAAATTAAATCAAACATCAATATGCGATTGCTTTGCTCTATGTATACGAAACCAGGTAATATTTCCATGTATCCTCTTCCTACACTTCTCAAATCATCATTTGTGATTGCTCTATTCCATGTTAAATCGTACAAATAAAAGTTAAATATAATATTTTGCAAGATATGTATTGATCTGTAAAAAATAAAGCAATCGGATAGGTATTGCGGTGGCTTTTTTTCTCACAGTTTGGCTCCATGCCAGAGCAATTTTCTGCTTCCGTCTTCTTTTTTGAAGATAGATGCTGAGTCAGCAAGTGCAAAAGGCTTTCTTCACCTGCACATCTATCTTCACACCGTTCAGTTTTTGTTTTGCCATTTCAGCAAATTTTACTTGCACACTACATGCATCGGAAGAGAAAATAAGTAGTCCATGTCTATATTAATGATGTGGCGTATTTTTTCTTAGACTAAACAGTCCGCATTGCGGATGCTCTTAATATAGTTGATATTAAGTAGTTGTTCTATTCATTTGATATGCATATTTATCATTTTAAACTTTGGTCTAATCTGATCTGATTTTTTATAATCTATTCTAGTCTGGTATGATCCTGCAGTATGAATGTTTCCGGTGGCGGATTTAAAGTTTAGTTTTTCAGTATTCAATGTTTTTACAATTAATAATTTAAAGAAGTTATATCATTGACGTATAACTCAATTTTTACTTCATTATAAAAAACTCAATTTTTACTATAGATTTGATATATCATTGATTTATAACTCAATTTTTACTATTGATTATTTTAATTTTTATATATGTAATATTGGTGTCATATGAAAGATCATAAAAAATTATAAGTTGTGATATATTTTTTGTAAAAATTGTAGTACAAAAAATTTAGAGAACTTCGAAAAAAATTCTTTCTCACCGCTTTCTCCAAATGAGTTGGCTTGATTAAAATAAATAGCAATGGTGCACCGAGTGATTAGTAGTTATGCATCAAGTGAACTTGAATTAATTAAATGATTTAGTAGTAGTGATAACATAATTTTTATGAACCAATAAGAGACTGATACATCATTGATTTATAATTCAATTTTATTATATAAAAATAACATATTTCATTTGTATACATGCAATATTGGTGTCATATGAAAACTTATAAAAAGTTATGAACTTTGATACATTTCTTTTAAAAATTGGAGTACAAAAAAGTTATAGCACATTAAAAAATACTTAGCATGCTCTCCTCCCCTTTCTCCAATTTTTGTAAAGACAGGAGTATAAATGAAAAAGTTATAGCACCTTAAAAAGAGTTTTTTCCTTCACTTTTTCCAAATGAGTTGGCGTGATTAATATGAATAGCACTGATACACCTGGTGAATAGCAGTGATGCACCAAGTGAACTTGCATTAGTTAAATGTTTTAGTAGTAGTGATGATAAAAAAATTATTAACGAATAAGAGACTAACATGTCACTTATTTTTAACTCAATTTTATTTTATAAAATAATGTTTTTATTTTTATATATGCAATATCGATGTCATATGAAAGATCATAAAAAATTGTAAATATTGATGTGTTTTTGGTAAAAATTGGAGTACAAATAAATAAGTTATGCTCCATATGTCCCTATTTAAAAGTGTCACTTTGTTTAACACACAATTTATGAAAGTGGCACTGTTTGGCACTCTTTTGACACTGTTTTAATGTTTTGTTTACCAAATAAGCACTACAAAAAAACTCGCTCTTTGTCACGGATTTTTGTCACGGATTACGGCCGTGACAAAGTTGTCACAGGCTTTGTCACGGAATATTGGAATTTGTCACGAAAATGTGTTGTCACGGATAGGTCCGTGACAAAATCCGTGACAAAATATTGTCACGGATTTGATCCGTGACAAATTTACTCCGGCGACCGGTTTTTTACTCCGATAAATACTTTTTTTGCTCCCGGGCATTTGTCACGGACAGATCCGTGACAAATCCGTGACAAATTTCAAAAAAACGTTGTCACGGATCCATCCGTGACAAAATCCGTGACAACCTTCAATTATTGATTTTCCAGCGGTAACCTTTAATAATACAGTACGAAAAAAGGGTTGTCACGGATTAATCCGTGACAAATTCGTGACAAATTTTTTTATATAACCCAACCCCATCGTCCATTAGAATTGCAAGAACAACAATTATTAGTTCAAAAATTCGTAGATTCGAGTGATGTAGTATCGGTTTAAAGATTGAATGATGTAATTCGTCAGTTCATCATTTTCCCAGTTTATGCAGATAAGGTATGTCATTTTAACTAATTTCTTTTAATTGTGTAATAAATTAATTATTAGCTTAATTAATTAGTGAGGTTAGTTGTTCATTTATTTAAACTATTAACGTAATTTAGTGAGGTCATGTTAATTTTCATATTATTAACAATATATTATGGAGAAATCAGATGCCAATAGGCTCAAATTTAGCAGGAAACCAAGTTACTTTGATTGTCACCGCAAGTTTCTGCCTATGAACCATCGATATCGAAAGTACAAGAAGTCTTTTATTGCCGGAAGAGTGGTACGAGATCCCCCTCCTCCAAGACTTACGGGTGAACAAGTTTTTAACCGGGTTCGACGTTTTCCTACGGCCGTGCAGCAACCCTACGGGGAGCCAAATGGGTATTGTGATACCCATAAGTGGACAAAGAGGAGTATATTTTGGGAATTGCCGTATTGGAAAGACCTTCTCATTCGTAACAATTTAGATGTCATGCACATTGAGAAGAACATCTTTGACAATATATTTAACACGGTTATGGATTTTACCCACAAAACCAAAGATGGTCTTGCATCTAGAAAAGACATGACAATTTGGTGCGACAGACCCGAACTCGTCGTCGATCTAGAATATGTGGGTAAAAAAATTCCAAGAGCAGTCTACCAACTCACAACCCCACAAAGGGAATCAATATTAGAGTGGCTTGTTTCTCTGAACATTCCAGATGGCTATTGTTCTAACTTGTCAACAACGGCCACTCGTGAACTATGATGGCGGTTGTTTAAAGTAAAAATAAATTTTTTTGTTACATTTTAATAACTTAAATTTAAGAAATGATATATCAATGTTTTTAATGAAGGCTTCCCATCGGTGGCATTTTGCCCTAGACCAAGCTATTCTCAAAGAATACAATTCTAGGATTTCTGGGTGGTTGAGACCCACTTTTAGGACCGCTCGGTCTACCGGTCGAAAGCCAAGATTCCTTGGCGATGATGTGTGGGAGATGCTTTGCCGCCACTGGGCTACGGATCCCGCATTTTTGCTGAGAAGCAAAACAGCCAAGGCAAACCGGAACTCGGAAAAAGCCAAGGAAGTTCAATGGCACGGGGGCCCCAAACCCCAAATTCAACATAAAAAAGATCTGGTAAACTCTAATTAGTTAAAATTATTTCCATTCCATACCCTTATGTATATACTTAGTATATTTTTATTAACATTGAAATCCGTGTAGGAAGAATTTGGACCCGTGAAAAAACGGGTCACGCCATTGAAACTCGTGGCACATTGCTGGATGAAGAAGGGTGCCATGCCGCCTCCCCGCCTTTCTGAAATTGAAGTAAATAATGAAACTTCAATAATTCAATAAATTTCGAATTTTTTTGATCTCTTATATAATAAATTTTTGAACTTGTAAAAAAATATGAGGAAGAGCGGGGGAAGAGAGTTGATGAGCTAGGTGATTCTGATGCCGAACTTGATGAAAATCAAGAATATGAGGCCATCTCGGCGGCAACCGGAGTTTACAAGGGCTGGGTGCCGCTTATGGGTTCTGAAGGTGTACGGATCCTGGAGAAGGCCAAAGGAGCTAGCTCATCTTCTCATTCGGCGTATGATGATCGGGTTACCCGCCTCGAGAAACTATTGGAGGAACGTGAAGCAGAGGCTCGAAGGCGAGATGAAGAAGCTCGGATACGGGATGAAGAGCAAAGAAGAACGAGAGAAAGGTTGGAAGAGATGGAACGACAAATGCGTATTTTCAATGCCACCTACCGCCCATCCATGCACATACAGCACCCCGAGATGACTCCACAAATTCCCTTCGCGGGCAATATGGGCAATATGGGCAGTATGAGCAGTAGGGGTTTTGCTAATTATAGCCATATCTCCAACAATTTTCCATATGGATATTATGATGATACCCCTTTAGCGACTCCCGGAGCTCAAGCATACCGTGGCAGCAGCCGGGCTGGCAGCCGTGGTGGCAGTCGAGGCAGCCATCGTGGCGGCAGCCGTGGCCACGGAAGGCAACCCGATCATCGTGAGGAACCTGATGATGATGATGATTATGATGACCATTGATGGTTTGTAATAACTAGTTTATTGACATTTTAAGGATTTT